AAAAAAACGCTCCTAATTATCTGTTTATTTCTCAGGTGACTGTGTAGAATAATTTCTGATTCAGTACATATTTTTTAGTAGATGCTTGATATGGAAATAACAACCTCAAACGTGAGGTTGTGGGCCTTGATACTCTGTAAATAAATTGATAATACTCAAATGCATGAAGAGTACACTTTTCTTTTCATACTGGATCAAGTGTGCCTGTCCTCTGGACTACAGTTATACATTGCTGGCTTCGGCCCAGGTCATCCTTATGCACATCAGAATCTCTAGAAAACCAATCCCAATCTAGGCAGGAAGACTTCAGAGAACTCGGAACAGAAGACATGTAACTGATTTTCTAGAGGATGGAATATTCTTTTGCAGGTCTCTATCTTTCTGAAGGATAAAGTGCAGAACTCTAATGGTCGCTTTGTGCTGCCAATATCAGGCCCTGTTCCTTGGGGTACAGAAGTACCAGGAGTCATCAGGTGAATACTGTTTGCAGTGCCTTGCATGTGTGGCTGCTCAGAAAAGAGCACTTTGTGCCAGAAGCTTAGAGTGTCTCTCATGTTGCAAGGATAGCTGAACCTCCAGTAAGTTATTGATAGGGCAAGGTCTGGCACTGTGTGTCTGGCATTCCCTATTCCAGTAAATTAGCTATTAGTCCTTTATCCTTTAAAACAGACACTTACCAGTGTACAGAATAGGGTTTTATTCCCTTTTTCTTTTTTTTGTACAGTAAACAAAGGGTACAGTACTGAAAATATGTTTCAATATTGGGTTGTTTTTAAGGATGTTTAATTGCAATGGAGATGAAGTTAAAAGAACCGAGTTCACCACTGGTGGAAATTATGTCACTCCACAAAGGGAAGGATCTTTTGAGCTTTATGGAGACAGAGTCCTCAAACTTGGAACAAATATGTAAGTCATTTTTGTCCTACATAGAAATACAAAGTAAACACTGATGATGGATTTGTTCAGAAGTATGTCTTCAGCCTTGAAAAAAAAAATTATTTTTTGCATCTTTGGCATTATCAGCTAGCTTGACTACTTTACAAAGTGATTGTGTAAAACAAAACACACAGATAAATGTACATAAACAGCTGTGAGAAAGAGCCACAGTTTGATTCATGACTATAGCAGAGCTGAAAATAGTGCTCTCATTGCATACTGTGTGTTCTGTGAAATTAAATTTAATTGCATTCAAGGAATTATTTTTTTTTCTTCACATTTGTCATAGGTAAGTCTTCCATTTTCAGAATGAGTCAGTTATGTTTTTTCTTACAGCTTTGTTGCTTACATGTTTTAATGCCACAATACCCTGTAAAACAGAACTGTAAGCTCTCAGTAGCTTACAATCCTCAGAAAAAATATCCTGAAGTCATTTTTAAGTCCTGTGCTGCTCCCTCCTATTTCTGTATCACAAATAAATAACAGGTTGGTTTTCCTGGTGTGTTCTTCTCTCTAGGTACAGTGTTAGTCGGCCGGCAGAGACACACACGTCAGAATCATCCAAAACCTTGGCTTCCAGTGCAAAGGTTAATGCTTTTCTGATCCTGTCACTGGTAAAACTCATGACCCTGGCAGCAAGGTGTGTCAGTAAGGTCTGCAGGTGGTCACACGTGGCAGAGGGGTTTCCTCTGGGCAGTTTCACCACACCCATCAGACTTTACATTCTGTTTCCTCCATCTCTTAATAGCTGGGGTCACTACATCAAGCACACACTGACTTCCAACTCATTCACTAGATAGCTGCACTATCTTCTCTTTTGTTTATTTCCTTTCTCGTGTAACAGTAACATCATTTTGGTCTGTACTTTGGGGTTCCTGTCTATTTGTTTCTCTCCAAACCTCGGCAGTCCTCCATGACCCTGTCTGAGTGAGGCTATGGGCATGTTTTCCTAACTAATTGTAGACATAAGCTGATGAAGTGGTCTGCTGAAATCTTGCTTCCTCTTTTTAATTTCTTCAGAAATTGGGAAGCTAGGTTTGCTGATTTCACAGCTTCTTGATTTAGCTTGATTTAGGAATTCGAGCAACCACTTTTTATAAATATATGACTGATAATGATGAATTGCCTGTACCATTGAGAATACATAAATGTGTTTCTGTATATTGATGTAATATTAGAATATAGTAACTTTGTCAGTCCTCTTTTTCCTAGTAATCCGACCAACAAACCTATTGCTGTTTTCTGCAGGAGAATATAGCCCCTAACCCTCTTGCTAAAGAAGAACTGAACTTCTTAGCCAGGCTGCTGGGAGGTCTGGAGATCAAGAAACCTGGTGGCAGCGAGACAGGATTTCGACTGAATTTATTCATGACAGATGAAGAAGAAGAGTATGCTCAAGCTGGTTCTGGTCTGGGGTTTGAGATTCAGTGACATGTGGACAAGTCCTGGAGACTGAAGCTGATCCTTAACAGCTTTAGGGACAGAGTAGCAGCATTTTTAGTATTTTCTTATCCATGTCCTGATATTCCCCGCAGGAACAAAAGATGAGCAGTTTATCTGAGACTCAGCAAGGAAAGGGATTTGTGTGCCTGTTTTTTTGGGATGCAGGGTCTCATACTGCCTTCAGGTGACACTGGTGATCACCGGCACTGACAGTCTGGGCTGAGGTCCTGCCACAGATCAGGTGTTATGTGCCTTCAGCACCCTTAGCTCTTCCTGTCCCCCAGACACTCATTTCAGAGAGAAGTACGCAGTAACTGAGGGGAGGTGAGGCGGCGGATAGGCTGGAGCACTGCAGCCCCCTCCTGGCAGGAAGGTGTTTCCACTGCTCTACATTTAGAAAACCCAAAGCAGGGATAAATGCCCAAACTGAGATCAGCATCCTGGTAGAAACAGGCATGCTGTCTAAATTTCTCATCTGTAGGATCCTCAGGACGGACCAGCGGAAAACACTACTGAGCTTCTGTGGTATGGGTGGGATGTGACAGTGTGACATCACATAAAGCACTCCTCATATTTTCAATCAAGGCAGGCGGCGCTGACGAGACCTGAGGAATTATCCTACAAGGTTGTGAACATCGAAGCCACTGAGGTACGTACAGTTCACTTAGACTCTAACCGCTCCTCCTCCGCTACCAAAAGAGCTTTACACATCGCCGGTCCGAGCCCGTATCTCTGCGCAGGAGCCGGCGCGGCGAGCGGAACTGGAGCGAATCCTGGGAGACCTGGAGGTGGCGGAGCCGTGCGCGGAGAGCTGCGGGAAGGGCGAGGACCTGCTGGCGCTGATGGACGGGCTGTGAGCCATTAAAGGCGTTCCTCCCAGCCTGCCTCCGAGCCGCCGGGCGGGGCGGGACCGAACGGGGCGGGACGGAGCGGGGCAGCGCGCAGGCGGGGCCGCCCCTTCCTGCTGCCGGGCCGGGCGGTGAGTGGGCTGGGGGTAACCGGGATGTGCACGGGTGGGCGTGCGGAGGGAGAGGGCTGCAAACGCCGCGGATGCGGGGGTGCGTGCGGGATGGGGGGGAGAACTGAGCGTGCGGAGTGGGAGTGCGGAAAGGAGGATGGGGGATGTGAGAGCAGCGTGCAGGTGGTTATGCGAGGGAAGGGAGCAGCGTGCACCCCGGTGTGCAAAGGGAGGGAGGTAATGAGCACTCCTGCGTGCGATGGGATGGTGGGAGCGAGCATCCCGTGTGTAAGGGGAGGAGGCAGCGTTTGCCCCTGTGTGTAGGGGGCTGGTGTGTACGTACACGAGCATGCCATGCTTCCACAGCTGCACTGAAGCACGTGCTGGTGCCCAGTCCTGGAGGTCGAGGTGCTGGTGGGGCGCAGCGTAGCATCTCCCTCAGTTCATCTGCCACAGCCGCACCATGGAGGTCAGCCACTCGGTCAAGGAGCGCACCATCGCCGAGAACAGCCTGGTCATCCTGCTGCAGGGCCTGCACGGCCACGTCACCACCGTGGATCTCCGTGACGAGAGCACGGCCACGGGACGCGTGGCCAATGTGGACGCCTTCATGAACATGCGCCTGGCCCAGGTGACCTTCACAGACAGGCGAGGTGTGGTGTCACAGCTGGACGAGATCTTCGTGGCTGGCAGGAACGTGCGCTACGTGCACATCCCCGACCAGGTGGACATCAGGGCCACCATCGAGCAGCAGCTGCAGGCCATCCACCGCGTGCGCTACTTCGGGGGCCGCGACAAGGGCAGGAGGGAGTTCCCTCGTGCCAAGCACAAATGAGCCCCGCTGCCTCCTTGGTGGGACACCGAGTTTTTCTTTAATCAACAACCCAACTTCAAAGGGTCGGTGATCTTCAGCTCCATCCCTGTGCAACTGGCAGCTACTCCTCTATCCCTCTTCTTACGGTTTTTCAGCTCTCAAACAAAGCCCTTTTGGCCACAATGCCTGGCTCTGCAGTGATCCTTGACTGTAGCCTCCTCTGCAGGACCGTGTCCCCCCTGCTCCTGGGTCCCGGCTGCCTGCAGGGAGCCATGGCCTGATCCTGGGGAGGGGGTTAGAGGGCAGCGCAGGGGTAAACCTGGGCTGTGGGCAGGCAGCGGGGCTGGGGGAGAAAGATGTGCTTTGCTCAGCGCTGCCACCTCGCCCTGTCCCTGTTCTTCATCCCCATTCGCAGGGCTGCTGGCCTTGCAGGCATCACGGAGCCGAGTTTCCCGGCTGCCCTCGCACCCGGCTCTGGCCCGAAAACCACGCACGGAGCGACGCGGCCGACCGCTGTTGCTATAGCGGTGGGGCGGTGCGCATGCGCGGGTGGGCGGGGCGGGGCTTGCGGCGAACGCGCACGTTTCTCTTCCAATGGCAGCGCACCAGAAGTTCCCACCTGCCCACCAATCCGCTGGCAGAGCAGGCGCCAATCAGCGGAGAGAGTCATCGCGCATTGGCCAATCGATCTCCACTTCTCGCCTCCGCGCAACAGCCAATCAGGGCTCGCCTCCCATCAAGCCCTCGTCACTGCCAATCACGGCCGGCTCTGGCCCTGCTGCCCAATCAGCGCTGCCGTTCCTGCGTGGAGGCGGTCCGGCCGTCAGGAGGCGGAGCTGCGCCGTTGGGGCGGGGCCGGGCCGTGCGTCACTTCCGCTGTCAGGTGGCCGCCGCGGAGCGGAGCGGAGGCCGCGCGGGGCTGCGGGGAGCGGCCGCGCCGGCCCCGGGGCCATGGGTGAGTGGTGGGGCGGGCCGGGGGCTGCCGTGAGCGGGGCGGGCGGCCCGGCGGTGTGGTCGGGACCGGGAACGGCGCGTGGGCACGGCGCCTCCGGTTCCGCCGCCTCCGGTTCCGCCGCGAGGCCGGAGGAGAAGCGTGGGCCGGGGGTCGCAGCCGCGGGGCCGGGGCTGGCGGTGCGGGTGGGGCCGGCGGTGCGGAGCGGCGCTGTGTGCGATCCGCTCGACTCGTCGCCGCTCCGCACGGCCGTTCCGCAGCTCCGCTCTGAGGGCGGCCCGGGGGTCTCAGAGCCGCCTGAGCTCCGCGCCGTGGCCGCGCTCAGTGCTGCGGTGACTTTTTCTCGCTGTGGGAACCTTTTCCCCAGCGTTTTCCAGCAGCTCTTGCAGCGCAGCGTCCCTTAGCGCTGCCCGTCCCCTGGCCGAGCTGTCGGTCCCGGTGAAAGCTCCGTGCAGGCGGTGAGCAAAAGCCAGATCGCGGAATCATTAAGGTTGGAAAAGACCTCAGAGCTCATTAGCGCGTCCAGCAGGGGCTGCTTCTAATCCCCGCGGCATTACGGAATCGTCTCCTCCTGAAGCCTCGCAGAGGTGCCCCGTAGGCGCTTAATGCAGTTGAAGGACAGCCCTGCGGTTCTGCCCGAGCTGTGCTCAGCCTGCGAGCTGAGCGCTGAGTTCAGAGGCACAGCACGGCTCTGCATTCCTGCACTGCTCTCATTCGGATTGGGATTGTGCCCGGGTGCTCTCCAGCTGCTGTCACTTTCAATATGAAATAGCCCAGTTTGGTTAGCAATTTTTGCTTTCTTTTTTTTTTTTTTTTAAACTTACACCATCTATCAATGTACTTTCACGCTGCAAACAATAGTAACATTCACGTGGTGGTAAGGATTTACCCGTGTGGGTGACGTGTCTGTGTTTCTCCCTATCTGGTTGGGGCTGATGAGTGGGGCATTGTTAGCAGCAACCACACCTTGCTGTAAAAGTGTCAGCACGTGTGAGTCACACGCTGATGTGTGTGTATGTGTGTGTGAGGAAAGTCCTGCTGTGCTGATGGATGGCTGTGCCATGCACCTAGCAACGTCAGCTGTAAACGAAAATAATCCCCAGGGCAACACGCCGCTCCCAACACGCCTCTCCCCCCTGCACCCAGGACGTGGGGCTGCACAGAGATGTGGAGGGATGATGCTGGAATCGGTGTTTGTGTGACCCAGCAGGGAACTCCCAGCCGTGAGTCCTTGGCGAGCCCTTGTGTTGATGCATCAGAAGGGTTTGGAGCAGCCCAGCCTGCTGCCAGCTTGTGGTCACGGCGCTGGAATCCTGCGCTTTGGAGCTCCCTGCTGGGGTTGGGAAGGGATTTCCTCCCCCTGAGTGGTTCTGCTCATGGAAGTGGCGTTGTCCCTGCAGGGCAGTGGTGCGTCCCCAGCACTGCCTGTGCCCAGGGCTCTGAGTGCTGTGGTTGGGGTGCAGTGAGTCCAGCTCTGTGCTCGCTTGGTGCAGGGGGAAGGAGCTCAATGGGCTCCGTGTTTCCAAGAAATCAGTGACTCAGGGCTGCTGTGTGCTCTGGAGAAGGCGGCTCTTCCCGGAAGGGCTCACGGCACAGCACACAGTTTGGTTGTGGCTCTGAGTCATCCAGAGGACTTTTTCTTTAATTATTTGTATTGCTACTGCAGAATTGCTGAACTTCCATAGCTTTTGGTGTTCTTTCCAGCTCTGTACCAAATGTTGCAGTGTTGGGATCCCAAAAAACCCAAAGCTGTCCAACAGACACCGCTGAGCTCTGTTACGTGCCACTGCCCCAGCGCTGTCCTGTCTCCTCTCTGTCACCCCATTTCCTTCCTTGCAGAGATCAGCTCCTCGGTAGGACTGCACCTTGGCCTTTGGCATTCACTCACCACCCCAGAAATTGTAAGCACAGACAAACTCACTTTGTGCCCCTGTGAGATAAAGCAGCAGAAAGCACCGCTGAGGTTGTGTCAGCTGTTCCAGTTCCTTAACTAGTTTCTGCGGTGCTGAGTAATCCTGTTCACACCCCAAAGGTACTATTTTTTCAGCTCCTGCTCTTAACGGAGGCGGCCGGACTGCAGGACCCGCTTGTTCCTTGCTCTGAGATGCACAGGGCAGCCTCCTCCACTTGCTTTCCTTTGTTGCTGTGCTGGGCACTGGAACATTGCGTGGCAGTTCAGGAATTAGTCAATTTCCTTAAGCTACCTAATTAAAAGACATTAGATCTGGACCTCTAAAATTATTTGATTAACAGTTCTATTGAAGTCACGATGCAGTAGGAAGCTCTGAGTGCACTTCCCCAGTAAGGTTTTGATGCAGTGCATGCTCTGCACCAGAAGTCAGCGATGAATTCCTGTGTTAGACTTGCAGCCTCATTGTCTGAGCCTGCTGGTGTCACAGATGGTGGAGCGGGGGTGTGAGCAGTTCCTGCGCTGGGGGGGGTGGGGAACCACCGTGTGAGCATCCATGGTCCTGCTGGGAGGGATCTCATTCTGGCTCTTTGGTGGAGTTTTGGATACGCTGAGTTGAGATGGATTTTGCTGGTGTTGGGATAGGTTGGGCTTGGTGGGGTTTTTTTTTTGCAGTAGTAAGAGCTGGGAAAGCCCAGCAGTGTGAGGCTGTGTGTGGGCACAGAGCTGCTCCTCCACTCAGCACATCTCTGTGTTGGGATCACTCCATTGCAACAGGATTGATGCCTGTGCTGCCCGTTTGCTCTGTGCCCATCGTGTTTGAGGAGGAATTCAGCGTGCTGTGATCCCTTGCTGTGCTTTGAGCTGTGGGGCAATGGGCAGCTGGGTCCCAGCGTGTTGCTCCTGCCTTGAGGTGTCTCCACTCACAGCCTGGAGCAATCCTAAGCCCAGACTTCTGTGGAGCTGCTTCTTGCTGGATGCAACGCAGCTGTTTGTGTCTGTGCAGCACCAGCTTTGTGTTGCACGTGCTGCTGGCAGGGGAGCCCCTTGAAGTGAGAGCTTTGTATCAGGATGAGATGGATTTGTGGGCAGAAAGCAGCAGCTGGCTCAGCAGGAGGAAACCTCCTGCTCTGCATTTGTGGCTTCTACATTTAGTGCCTTACACCCCTGCTCACAGTACTCCTTCCAGCCCCATACCAGCCTGCTGCAGCACAGCAGGATCTTGCACAATGAAGCCGTGGCCCTTTGACCAGTTTCCCTGCTCTAATCGGGATTACACAACATGCAGGAAAGGGAACAGCTCTGCTCTCTCACAGCAGCTGCCCCACTGCTCTTCCTTTGCTCCATGACCCCCCTTAAAGCACTTTGCATGTTCTGTGTCTGCTGGGACTCCTGGAGCCCCTTGGGTTCTGTGGGCTGATGTGCCTGGGGGGGGGTGTAGGTGTGCTTGGGGGGGTGTAGATGGTGTAGGCCTGGTTCTGGAGCATCAGATTTCAATCCTAAATTTATCCTTTTAATGGGACTGTGTGAACTGTTAGGCAGTGCTGACTGTTGGTGTGTTTGAAGTGAACCCAAAAGTTGTAAAGAGAATCTGCTTGCAGTGAGAATTTGTAAAAACTCAATGTATCGTTCTGAGCCTCTTCCCAAAATGATTCTGTTCAAGTCCAAACTTTAAGAACCAGCTCCTGTGATGCTTTAGCAATTCCTCCCAGCAGTGAAGGCTCTGTCACAGCAGTGCTGGTGCTGCTGCAGGCGGGGAGGGCGATACAGGAACACACTTGTGCCCATAGCATCAGCTGCATCTCATTTCATGTTGCAGAGCCCTCGACCTTCCAACCAGCCAGGCTTCTCCGAGGTGAGGACTCCTGTCTGCTGAGACGCTGGAAAACCTAGTTTGGGAGAAGAGTGAAGATACAGTTGATGCTGAACTACGTGAGTCCTTCAATTATTTTGTTTACCATAACACAGTTTGCACCAGAGGTTCCTACCCGGCTCCCATTGCACAACACTCATTATCTCAGAGTTTCTGTGCAGTGGGGTTTCTCCAGTGGAAATTTTACTCACACGTTGCCAGCAGGGAGCAGAGGATCTCACAGGGCTGCTCACACCTTGGCTCAGGGCTGTGGGGAGCATTGGGCTGGGGTGATGGGGAGCAGGGAGGGGGAAGAGTTCTTGCTCAAAGATCTGAACTCGTGGTGGAATCCAACAGTGCAGGTGTGTAAATCCGCTGGAAGGTTTCTCACCTTATCTTTGCTGCTATCTCTGACCTTGGTGACAGATACTGCTCCCTAATTAACGCGATGAGATCACTGCTGTGTCCACAGAAAGGGTGGGGCTGCCGGAGGGAGAATGTCCCAGCTTCCTTCAGCCTGGTGATTTGTCACTCTCTTCCTTGGTGAAACTTGGGGACTTTTTTTAACCAAGTGCAAGCCAAAATATTTGGTCAGCCTGCTGCAGTAAGCTTGTAGGGAGCTCAGCAGGGCTTGGTTAGGACTTGCTCAGGGGAGGAAAATGAATCTGGGCTCAGTTCCTCCTCTCCCCCCACCTCTCTTAGAATGAATGCACAGAACTCCCTGGGCTGAATCAGAAGGAAGCAGCCATGCAAAGGATAACTGCAGCATTAGTTTGGAATGTGTTAATTGACAGACTTGGGTTTTGCTGTAAAGCAAGCTCTCGTTATTTTCACTTGTTCCCACTACGTCTCTCAAACCTCTGTTCTAGGAAGTGTTGCTTTGAATAACAGAGCTGATTTATGCCTTCAGCACGCATCCAGCCTGCAGCCCACAGCTGCTCTATCAGTAAATGAGCCATACTTGTTGGTTGCTGGGTTTTTTTTGGTTTGTTTTGTTTGTTTCCTTTGCAGAAGGACGAGTAGGCAGAGCAGCACATCAGTAAGCAAAAGCCTTCCCGTGTGAAGTAAGGGGTAGGATAAGGAAATTAATTCAGTTGCTCATCAAAATGTGATCTTTTCTCCTTTTCAAGAGCCAAGGATGAAGCGGCGAGCATCAGACAGAGGAGCTGGAGAAACATCCACTAAGGCAAAAGCTCTTTGTACAGGGATCTCTGGAAATAATGCCAAGAGAGCGGGCCCTTTCATACTGGGTAAGCAGAGGGGGGTTTTCTCCATCTTTTGTTTTCAGCAGATTGCTGTTGATGGCAAAACTGAAAACAGAAGGCAAAGCAGAGGTGTAACTTAGTGCCTCACAGCTGGGCAGCTCCCTTGGTGTCACAGGGCAGCACTGTGGGGCTTCTGTAGCCAGTCAGCCAGGGACATGTGTAGCACCAACACAGCAAGGCACGTGTGTCTTTGAAGATAAACATGAACCCTTGCTCCTAATTTTTATTTTTTTTCTTTTTTAAGCTACATTCTTAAATTTTGTTTAAAAGCAAATTCAGGAAGCTTTTTGGTCAGAGCTCTGGGGTTAGGTTTAACTCAGTTTGTCTGAAACATGCTCAGTAACAGAGTGGTGACTGTTACAGGGGATGTATGCCTGGGCAAGGCTGCTCTGCTGCCTTTGAGAGCTGCTAGAGCAGTTGTTAGTTTGGAATTAGTTACACAAACTGCTAAAAAATGATGTATTTTCAGCTGGAAACCAGCAGCAGTCAGTTAGCTGACTTGACACAGTGTTCTCTGTTCATTTTAACCTGCAGCGTGGAGTGATGCATGTGCCTGAGAGTCCCTGCAGAGGTGGTGGTTGAGTTGGGAGGAGTGATAGCAGCAGTTTCCAGGGGTGTTGGTGGTGTATGATGTAAAAGTCGTATGGTTCAGGCATGCAGAAATGTGAATTTCACAGCAAAGCTGTGCTATGTGTGATTTTTCTTTCTTGCTTAATGGTTCTGCAGTTAACAACTTAAAACACTGTCCACAGTGGTTTCATTTTTGTCTTTAGATCGTGGCTTGCAGAAGGACTCTTGGTGTCCTGAAAAAAAAGTAGCTTGATTTAAGCTAATGTAAACTGTGTGACACTTGGATACTGATGTAACCCTGAATTAGTCATTGCTGCTTGAGGAAAACAAGTCTGTTTTTGCTTTGTGCTGTTAGGTCCACGTTTAGGTAACTCTCCTGTGCCAAGTATTGTTCAGTGTTTGGCAAGGAAGGATGGGACAGATGACTTTTATCAGCTAAAGGTAAGCAAAGTGCAGGGGCTCCAGCTCTTCTCTAACTCTTGCTCTCATGACAGTGCTTGGTGCAGTGTGGTGCAGGCTGAGCTGGGGGAATTGGCTGCTGAAACCCTCAGCCGGGCAGCTCTGCAGGCATTGCTCTGGGCTGGAGTTTAGCTCAGAGCTGAGGTTCTCCTGGGGCTCTGCAGTGCTCTCCCAGAGCCCTTTGGTCTCCTGTGCTGCACCAAAGCAGGAAGGGCCTCTTGGGGTATTGGCTGAAACCACATGAGCCTCTTTTGTGTTATTCAGGCTCATGCTATGCATTCTGTGCAGCTCTTAGTTCAGACAGGCTTGTCTCAAGTGCACAGATACCAGAGTAATTACACCCAAGTGTTAAGTATCCATGTGATTACCTCAAATGTGAGAGTTTGGGGGGGCGTTTGTTTTTCCTTTCTTTTTTTTTTTTCTCCTGGGAGTTGTAAAAGTCTTTTTCTTTTTCCCTGAAGATTCTCACCTTAGAAGAAAGGGGCGATAAAGGAACAGAAACACAGGAAGAACGACAGGGCAAGATGCTGCTGCACACGGAGTATTCTCTCCTTTCCCTGCTCCACAATCAGGAAGGAGTGGTTCATCACCATGGGCTCTTCCAGGTACAGCTGATCACAGTGCAGCTCAGGGCAATGCTGGTAATTGCTACTGGCTCGAGCTGCTTTTGTGTGTTGTGCAGTTGGTACTGACCCTCTTCTGGTGCACAGACTGTTCCTAGCACACTGAGATTCCTCAGCCCTGCTTCAAACAAGCACATTTGTGGCAGGGCCTTTGGGGTGTTAAGTATGATATAACAAGGTTGGGATTTGGGAAGTATGAGAACTCTGAAGACTGGGCAAGTGCTCAGCACACCCTCTGACACTCACAGTTTGACAGTGACTGCTGTCATACTGCACCTGGAGCCTGTAAACCTTGTGTCATGACGTTTATGAGCTGCCTCCCTGCTTTATTAACTCCCTGCAAATTAACTCGTGCTCGTAGAGCACCCTTCAGAACTGAGGTTGTGTTTTCTGGTCTCTCTACTGCTTTATGATGGCTGGTAAGAAGGAGTAAGGTGCCAAGGAACTGTTTTGGTGTGTTAAAATAAACCAGTAAATGTGTTGATCAGCATTCCCAGTGAGTGAACATGCTGTTAACACCTTCAGGGCTGCTCGTGGATAGGAGTTACTACTGGGATGCTGGTATTGCTTTGCATGCTGGTTACATTTTGCCAACAGACTTTTCACTCCAGGCTGCCTGTGCTGTATCTTAAATAAAGCAAATGTCCAACTTGGTTGTGTCCTGCTTAGTGTTATGAAGGATCTGCTAATTTTTCTGTTTTTCTGCTTATTAGTGATCCATAGTGTTCAGTCTGTGCTGCCACAGGGTTTGTTTAGGTTTTACCTTAAGTTGCATGTCTCAGGGTCAGTACTGCTGTACACATGTAAGCAAAGCACAGACTTTCTCTGGCTTCTTCAAGCAGAGATCATGCATCATCTCTCTGAAATCCCCACTTGGGACCAAGATCAAGCCCTGTAATTGCTTCCACTTATTCTGGGATCAGCCTGTATTTATTTTCTGGTGCTCTGTCTGATAGCTGCCTGAACCATTGCTCATGTGTTTGCCTCCCTGCAGGACCGAGCTTGCGAAATTATAGAAGATCTAGAAGCCAACAGAATGGTCAGAAAAATGAAGAAGCGCATTTGCCTTGTGTTAGACTGTCTCTGTGCTCATGATTTCAGTGACAAAACAGCAGATCTGATCAATCTGCAGCATTATGTCATTAAGGAGAAGAGGCTGAGTGAGCGAGAGACGGTTGTGATATTTTATGATGTGGTACGAGTGGTGGAAGCATTACATAAGGTGAGATCTCTGCTGTCCCTTTCAGTGCTGGAAGACTTGGTTTTCCCATGTTAGATATCTTAAAACTTCCTCGTGTGGGCGGTGGGAAAGTTACAAAGGATGGAGCTGTGTCTCAGTAACTGTGTTCTATTTAAGCCCTCGTGCCCAAAGCCGTGGGAGCTTCCCCTCTCCTTTGGTTTCCCAGTGGTGATGTAGCATGGAGAAGGGCCAGCTGGGCTCAGTGCAGATCAGGTGAAGTGTTATGAACCCAGAAAAGTGGTGGTTGAAGAAGAGAGCAGAGGTTGATCAGCTGCAGGAGGCACTTCAGGCTGTTTCCTTTTGAAGCATGGTGCATCTCATTATAAGAATTGATTCTTTTGAGTTCAAAAGTTCAAGTTGAGTTTACAATCCATCTGCTATGAGTTCCTGCAACAAGAATAGATTTTGCTGCTGTTGGACCCTTTGCTCTATGAAAAGGAGTTTCCACCTTTAAGCCTGGGCACTGATGTTCCAGGCTTCTTGGTGTCATGCATTTGTACTGGAATGACTTCAGGTGTTGTAGTTACTTTAACATAGTTGTCATTCAGTGTTCTGCTATATATGAGAACCAGCTCTGCCTTCCTTAATTTACATCTAGAAGAAATTGTCTGAGAAGGTGAATGTTTCCCACCTGTGTTTTTGTAGTCTGAGAAAGAAGACAGCCTCATTTCAAAAAAAAAAAAAAAAAAAAGATGCTGAGTGCTTTTATGTAAGCATCAAACTCAGACCAAAATGCCTTTGCTCATGTTATACAATTCTGTATTTTACAGAAAAATATTGTGCACAGAGACTTGAAACTAGGAAACATGGTGCTAAACAAAAGGTAAGTGTGCTGGAGAGTCCCTTTGTTGTTCCTACCCTGAAGCAGATGTTTCTGTAGGAACAAAGCTGAAGGCGTTGCAGATTGAGAGCACTCTGTGAGAAGGCTGAGGGACTTGGAAATGAGCTGCACGAAAATACAGATCCAGTTCAGAGTTAGATAAGATAACCTGCAGCAATGAATCCAGCGTGATGTGGGCAGTTCTGTCTTTGTAACACTTAAGTGACCTCTTGTCAGCATTTCCTGTTGGATTCCAGCTTCTGAAAACGAGGTTTTGTAGAAATCCAGACACCTGTGAGAGAAATGGTTCTTACAAAAAAGAAGGAACTGAAACATGTGAAATGGTTCTGTTTGTGTAATTCACTTCCCATCGTGCTGCAGGAATTCCCAGCGCTGCAGTCTGCACTATAATCACAGCACTGTTAAATCTCTGGCTGCTCTGCTGCTGTGTTTTTGCTAGCAGCAAAATATTTACTTATCTAAACAAAGTTCTTCTGTCTGGATGTGCTTTTGAAGTGGCTTCCTTGTTCCCATCAGCTGCTTGGTGCAAGGCTCAGCGCAGCACAGAGATGCACCCATGGGACGCCGGGCTGGGATGCACTGCTGGGTGCTCCTTGCAGCTTTTGTGCAGCTTTTGTGTCTTATTTGTGCAGTTACTCAGATGGCAAGCTGGTTCCAGTTCAGATACGCTGCTGTATTCTTCAGCATTACATTAGTGGCTAAATATTTTGCACTCGCCTTAGGAATGAGTGGAATCTGTCTTTTCACACTGTCTGTTTTTTTTTTTTAACTGTGGAATGAATAAAAACTTGGAAGGCTTTGGGTCCTCAGGCTCCCAGTCAGTAGGAAGCAAGTGGATCCTCTGTGTTTGCAGCTTGCTTTGCTCTTTCTCCTCCCTAATACTATTTGAAAGCAAGCAGGTTTTGCCTGCCAAGGTTGAACTTGTTGCTCTCCCCACCCCACACACAACAGGTGGTGCTTTGTGGGGTTGCCTCCATGTTGAGATTTTTTTAATATAGCTACTTTAAGAAAAATCTCTTCTGCTTGCTTGTTTGATGCCTCCTTGCTAGGAGCAGGCAGGTAAAGGATGCTTCTTTAAAGGATCCCTGCAGAACTCCCCTCCTTCTGCAGGCAAAGCATGCAGTGCAGATACCTGCAGGCAGAGCTGCTTGTCAGCTGTGGTGAGGAACAACTGCAGGCTGTGAGGCAGTGAGTGGTCTGGAAGGGTGGGTGAGGGTCACATCTGAGTGACTGAATGAAAGGAAGCAGCCCTGAACATTTCAGTGCCCTTCAGAACAGTTGGTCTTCTAAATCAGCCTTTTTTTTTTGCCATGTTGCTGTTCAGCCAGGGAGCTCTTCTGACAGTTGTAGCTTTGCACTTCTGAAACACGAGTCTGTCCTCCTTAATAATCAACTCTCTGTTGGCAACCCACACTTGGTTTTATTTCACTTGTCTGTTAGATGTGTTGGGAGTACTTCTTGGTTATTTTGACTGACTTAATTCATGCTTTTAGATCCCCATTGTGTGATATTATTCAAGAATACAGAAGTCAGTGTTTTTTCGAGGATATAGAAGACAGGTTTTCTGCTCAGTCCAGTGAGTTGTACGTTAAGAGCCCAACTGTCTGAGTGACATGGAACTTGAAATGTGGTGGTAATTCTAGAATGAGTTCACTTTGCCTTGAGAATTTTATTATCTGCTGCTGGCAAACCCGTACTTACAGTGTAGGATGCTTCCTCATTGCACGTGCTCCTTGTTCACCCATCCCTCTGCTTCTTCCCAGGACTCATCGGATAACCATAACAAACTTCTGCCTGGGGAAGCACCTGGTGAGTGAGGATGACCTTCTGAAGGACCAGCGGGGGAGCCCTGCCTACATCAGCCCCGATGTGCTCAGCGGTAGGCATCGCTTCCTTCATGCTGGGAGTTCACAGCCCTGCATAACACATCTTTCACTTTTTATGGCTCTTAACCCTGCTGTGAGGGCAGCTGATCCCAGGCATGGCCTGAGCTGCAGTTGCTGCAGCAGTTCTGTGTTCCCTGCAGGGATCTGCTGACCCTGTGGGCAGCTGCTGAGCTGACTGCGAGGAGTTGCTTAAAAATAAAATGATCAGGCCAGCATTGTCCTTAGCCTGCAGCTTGTCTGCTCCTGAGGAGAGGGAAAGCAGCTTTCCCAAATGTCCTGATGGCATTTAACTGTTTTCAATGCCTGGAACTTCCAGCAGCAGATGGGGTTCCTGTTCAGCTGCTGCAGTAGGTTCTGTAAGCAGTAACATCTGCCCTGCTGGCTGTGTGCTGCCCATAGCAGCTGAGCAGTGGCTCAAGCAGGCACTGGGCTTCTGGGTTTGCTCTCACCAGTTGAGCTGAGCTGACCTGTGGTGTTGGTGGCTGCAGCTGGGGCCGTGTGTTAGAAGTTTCTCTCCATGTAGACTCTGGTTACTAAGCATTAGCTCACACTGTGGAGTCTTCCCACTGACTGCAGATAGAATTGCTTTTGTTTGGAGCTGTCTGTCTGCAGGGTCTCACCTGTTAGGATGGGAAACTGCCTAAAACCTGAACACCAGCAGTGAGTGTTCCTGTGCCAGTCTGCCATGCAGGGCAGCAGCCCTCACAGAATCCTTGCCATTCTTTCTCTTGCGTGCCTAGAACACTGAGAACACCTCTGCAGAAGATTTGAGTCATCCCTTACCAGTCTGCAGTCTCCCAAGCAGTCCTATATGGGAGATACCTTCCGAGGGAGCTGGTCTTTTCTGCTCAGTGTGCAAGACCCAGTAGGCCACCCCAGTAGATTCACTCTCAGGTTTACAGGCAGCAGCAGCCAACGTAACTGAGGTCTTCCATCACCATCTGCCAGGCAGGTCTGAGGCTGCTTCCCTTCTCCTCCTAGGCCAGGAAGGGAGGCAGGGGCTGACAGGGAGGTGGAATTCATGCTTTTTGCAGGCCTTTCCTGTTCTGCAGGATATCCTGAGGCCCCTGGAACCAGATGGGTGATGCAAGCCAACTGCTTTGCAGGAGTTTGGAGCAGTTGCTGCTCAGCTGGAGGGTGTCTGAAGGGTGCACAGAGCTGCTCCTTCCTGCCAGCCTGGGGTACCACGCAGCCCTGCTGGCCTGCTGTCAGCAGCCAGGCTGCATCTGATGGCTCGTGCTGGTGCTTTGAATGGCCTCTGTGCAATTGCTGTGGGGCTCCTGTGTGCCTCAAAACTGCCCCAGAGTGGCTCAGTCTGCAGATTCCCTCCGGAGGCAGAAGTTACTTGGGGACATCTCAGACTTCACCATCTGCAGAATCTGAGCCTGTGTTGCTAATACTCCTGTGCAAGGGGAAGCTGAAAAGCCTGGAGAATTAATCATTGTTTTAGTTGCTGGGAGAAGCTGTCTTGTGTGAAGAGATGGCTTGTGTTTTATGGCTGCCAAAATGTCACCGCAGGAAAAGCTGGGGGAGGAGGGAGAGGTGCCTTTTTTTGCGCGTATAGAGCGGAGAATAATTAGTACAAATAACAAATGCTGCAGCAGTGACTCACTGCGTGAGTCAGAGGAAGTCGTTCCCTCCATCCTATGCTGTGGTGCAGCACTGGAGTTTAAGTTCTGAGCCTCACGCATGCTTCTGATGTGCTGTGTGATCAGTTTGAGCAGCACATCCACTGCATGGCTGCCAGGTGAGCAGGTTCCCTGCAGGCCTGCTGCTGGGTGTCAGTGCAGCACAGTGTGCCTGACTTCTCATCTCTGATGGCATCAGAGCTGCTGTGTGTGGAAAGCCCTCCTGGTAGAGGAAGGCTTGGCAGCTGTGCTCTGCTTCTTGGCACCTTCCACAGGTGCCCAGTGCTGCTGTATGAGGTTGTAATGCTTCAAAAGGGGAGGATCACATACTGGGCTGCTCTATGTGCTGCAGAGTAACCAACCCTGGTGCTTTCACCTCCTCTCTCCCTGCAGGTCGGCCGTACCGTGGCAAACCCAGCGACATGTGGGCGCTGGGCGTCGTGCTCTTCACCATGCTCTATGGCCAGTTCCCCTTCTATGACAGCATACCTCAGGAGCTCTTCCGCAAAATCAAGGCTGCCGAGTACACCATCCCTGAGTGAGTACCACCTTTATCCCCTTCCCCCACAGGTGGGCTCAGCCCCAACCCCTGAGGATCACAGCTGATGCGAGTGCAAAGGCTGCAGGAGAGAGCTGGGAAGCAGCAGCAAAGCTGGGACGTGCTGTAAGGGCGAGGAAGGCATCGTGCTGCAGGGCTGGGGATTCAGCTCCGGGTTAATTCTGTCTCTCTTGGCTCAGAGCTCTTGTAGCTCTGACCCATGCTCCTGCTGCTGGCAGTGCCCACCTCAGACCCAGCCTGACCACGTGTTCTCTCCCCAGGGATGGTCGGGTCTCAGAGAACACTGTGTGCTTGATCCGAAAACTGCTCGTCTTGGATCCGCAGCAGCGCCTGACGGCTTCTGAAGTGCTGGATTCTCTCAGCTCCATCATAGCATCGTGGTATGTTGCAGAGGATGTGGTCCTCGAGCTGTGTTACAGCAGCTGTGGTCAGCAGGCTGCTGCCAAGCACAGGGCACCAGAAGATGCACTGTGGGAGCAGCAGAAAAGCATTAAATCCTGTGTTGTGAGGCTCTGGGGGCTGCAAGTGGGTGTAGCCAGCACAGTCAGTGCCCATGCTGTCACACAGACTGCGCTCTGTGGAGTTACAGAGCACTGCTGGGTGCAGGAGGGCTTTTGTTGCTGTGCTCCCCAGCTCACCCCAGATTTGACTCTTAAATGTGAGCGGTCAGGAATATCACGTGTACATGCAGCCAAATCTAGACTCTTCCTGTAAGCTCATGAGGGGCTCTGCACTGCCCCTAAGTGTAAGCAAGCAGATCTCCAAGAAGAGAAGAGCAGGAGACACTGCTGCAGAGGAGCACACTACATTGCAGGGTGAGAGGCCTTTTAAGGATAAATCTAGTGCCAGGACTGGCACGGACCAACAGCCAGAGAGGTTCCAGGAGCTCTGGCAGAAACTCATCCCGACAGTGTGTGATTTGTGCAGCCCTCTCCCCAGCCCTTGTGACCTTCTGTCTGCTCCGAGCAGCGCACCCAGGCCAAGTTCTTGTTCTGCCTGTTGAGTCAGCTGCTCAGCCTGTGATTTTTGGAGCTGTGGCTGTTTTCTCTCCCACCTATGCAAGGCGTTAGTTCCACATCCTGTCTAAAAACAAAAAGCAAAACCCTGGGGGTGTGTGAGGGGAGGGAGGAGGGGGGGAGGTAGCGTGGCTGCGCAGCGGGTTCCTAATGGTGCACTTTCCCTGCAGGCAGTCCATGTCATCGCTGAGCGGTCCTTTGCAGGTGGTGCCGGACATTGATGACCAGGTGGCCAACCCTGAACACTCACAGGAGGTACCTGAGTGTGTGTGTGTGTGTGTGTGTGTGTGTGCCACCAACCCACGGGGGCTCAGGGCTGTGCAGGGCGAGCTCTGTGAGCAGTGCTGCACTCTGATGGGCTGCCTCTCCCCCAGGCGAAGGTGACGGAGGAATGCTCGCAGTACGAGTTCGAGAACTACATGAGGCAGCAGCTGCTCCTGGCCGAGGAGAAGAACACTTTGCACGAGGCCAAGAGCTTCCTGCAGAAGCGACAGTTTGGGAACATCCCCCCCGTGCGCCGCCTGGGCCACGATGCGCAGCCCATGAACCCTCTGGATGCGGCCATCCTGGCCCAGCGCTACCTGCGGAAGTAGCTTCCACACCTCTGGGAGCAGAGCACGCCCTGCAGCCCGCTCCCACACTGCAGCCCAGCAGCAATACCGGTGTCCCACGACGGAGAATCATGTAGCAGTTCTGAGCTCTGCTCGGGGACACACTCTGGAGGGAGAAGACTTTTTCACGAAGCTCCTTTTGGAAGCAGCGGCCTCTCGGCGTCTTCTGGAATCTCTGTTTTTAAATCGAAGCCTAGGTGACTAATCTGCTTCTAATCACGACTGTAATCTACCTCTCTTGTCTTTTTAACCGTGCTGTTCTCTGGACCGAGCAAAGCCCGTGGGGAAGGAGACTCCCAGGGTGAAGCTGGCTTGCTGGCACGAGAGTTTGCGGCTGTGTAGCATGGAGAGTCGACCGATTGCATTCGCTCCGTATGGTTTGAATAAGCTTAGATTTATCCGGGTTTCTTGAAAGTAAGAATTTCCTGAAGCCTCCCACTTCCCCCCCCCCATCTGCATCGAATCTTTTTCTGTTCTTACCGTGCCCCCTGGTGTTGCTGCACTGCCCTGGGTGGTGGTGTGTGTGGGTGGGAGGACCAACAGCCCCCCATCACCCAGCAGTCCATCACCAACAGCCCTCAACGGTGGCACAGGGATGGGAAGAGTGACTGCAGGCCATGGCTGTGCAGACCATCCCCCCCTGTGCCCGTGGTTGATTGGGGGCTGCACAGCACTCAGCCCTGCGTGGCCTTCTCCCTCTCCCCCAGCTCTTTTAGTTTTCATTAAGAATACACGATTTAATCTTTATTTTTTTTTTTCCTGTAGCTTATCCGAGGTGCAGTTAAAGTTGCATTAATTCTGACCTAGCATTTTCACACTTCAGTTGTGGTACAGATCTAATATATGGGTTATAATGTGAACGAGCTGCCCCCCATCATCCACCCGAGCTCTGTGCTCCAGTGGGGTGAGCAGCAGCTCAGGTGTAGCATTGCCTTCTCTTGCCCCTCGTGGGGCTGCTGCCTGCTCATGGCTGGAGCAGCAGGCGTTGCTCCCCTCGCCGCAGCCCCCAGCTGAGCCAGTAGCTTCAAGCCTTCGCCTTATTTATTGAGCTGACGGATCTGTCCCCTGCCCCACCACCCTCCCCTCTCCTCCCCGTTTCTTTTTCTCTTCCGTTTCCCAAAGTCAAAGCAATACTCTGGGGCCTGTGATACGGAGTGCCATCGCCGGGGGATCACAGCTGTGCTACAGTTGGACTGGAACCAGGGGGGGGAGGGAGGGGGACACGAGTGGTGCGCTGGGGAGCGGTGTTGGCACGCTGTGGGGAAAGGTTCCTATTGTAAGGAAAAGGAGAAAAAAAAAAAAGAGGAAAAAAAAAAATTTGTATAAAGATGTTATTTTTGTACTACATCGAACCTCCTCCTGCATGTCGGCAATAAAAGTTGGTACTGAGAGCCAGGTGCTCAGTGAGCCCGGGGGGGGGAGCTGTGCCCCATAGCCATGCAGGGCCCCCAATGCATGTGGGGCTGGGGGGGGCGCACGGCTGTGGGTCCTCACTGCTGTGCTGCAGTCCTGTGGGAGGAGCAGCGGTGTGGGTGCGATGGCTGTGGAGCAGAATGGTGATGGAAGAGCCAGAGCGTGGAGTGCGGGGAGCCCTGGGGCTCAGGATGGCCCTGCAGCAGTGGTTTGTGGCTGAAGGATTTCGTGCAGATCGTCCTATCGCTCAGTGCTGCAGGGATGTGCAGGTAAGGAGACCCTCATTCTTGCAAGAAGGGGTGGGCATTTCGCTGTGTTTATGGTGGAGGGAACCTCAGCCTCACAGAGCAGCACAGGAGGTGCCCCTCAACCCCAAGGCTCTGTGTAGGGGAGCTCCAGCACTGTATGGGGTCCCCGCTGTGCTGTGCAGCGGTGCCTCCCAAACACACCCTGAGCAGCAGATGGGATTGGGATGGGACTGGGCCTATGGCTGGGAATAGGACAAGGCTGCCAGGCTCTGTTCCGTGCATCCCAGGGGAGTGGGACGGAGCTGCCATTGGCTCCAGCAGGGAGTGCTGACCGCCAGCCTCCTCCGAACTATTTCCTGTTGCTGCAGCGTTAATGCTAAACAGACCTTTCTCTCTCGTCTCTCCACAGCCAAAGTGCGGAGGCTCCGCTGCCGTCCCGGTGAGTGCAGCGTGGGCTGTGGGGTGGTGGGCTGATGGGGCACCTTGTGTCTGCACACCCCAAAGGTAACGGCTCCGTGGTGTCCCCTACCCGGGGAGGGTGATGCTGGGGATGTGGGCAGTGAGGACGCTGTGCTCCGTGCTTGGGGACGCGGCGCTGAGGGCTGCAGGGCTCCGTGCTTGGGGATGTGGGGTTCAGTGCTTAGGGATACAAGTCAGTGCTGGGGGATGCAGAGCGTGGGGATGTGGGGAGGCTGAATTCGTAGCATTTGTGTCCAGCAGGCGCGGTGCTCAGTGCGTGACTGGGGACACAGGGTTTGGGGACCACAACACTCGGTGCTGGGTGCTGTGGGGCTGTCCCAGTGGCACTGCTTCAGGGGGGCTCAGGGCATCTGTCCCCTTCCTCATGGCTGCTGCAGCCCCAGGCCCTGACCCCTGCTTGGGCAGTGGCCTCAGGGCTGGCACCGTGGTGGTCTTATAGCAGTTTTCTGCTCCAGAATCCCATGGCAGGGCTGTGCCTCTCCACCCTGCAGGGCTCAGCAGTGGGGGCTGCTCTGCACAGAGGGCACTGGGATCTTCCTGGGCACCCCGACAGCCCTGTTCTGGGGTATCCCCACCATCTCATTCTGCCTGGCCCCACTGCATGCAGCACTGGACTGTCCAGGGACGGTTCTGCTGATGTGTCACATTTTCTGCATTTCTTTCCTCATTCCTCTGTCCGTGGAGACGTTTCTGGGAATTGAGAGCTTCCTTCTGCCAGGGCCTGAGCACTGTATTGCCTCCACCCCATAGCACGGCCCCATAGCCGGGCTCCAGCCCCACACCAGCACCAGGGGGGATTGCAGGGGGGCTCTGGGGCTGTGCTGGGCAGGAGAAGGTGGGTCTGTGACACCCAGTGTCCCCTCCCAGGACTTTCCCAGAGGAAGTTCAGCACTTTGTCCCATGGCAGGAAGGGGTCAGTGCCCGCCCCAGTCCCTCCCTCTGCTCATCCCACTGCTGGCCTTTGCCCTACAGCCCCGTCCTTGTCCCCATGTCCCAAGACAAATAGCCGAGGCTTGTGGTAAGCTGGGAGGAGCGCTGGGCTGAGCCAGGGAGTCCTGGAGTGAGGAGTACAGGGTGAGAAGAACCCAGCCCTGCTCAGTGCTCAGCCCCAGGTCCTGTCATCAGGGTTGTGTCCCACGGCGGAAGGCCCATCCCGGTACAGCTTGGCACCGGGTCCTGGAGGAACCACATCCTGCCCAGCCCTGCAGGAAGGGCAGAGGGGGGTGGGAGTGGGACCGTGTGCTCAGCACCCAGCAGGGCTCAGCACCGTGCCCCGCTCACCCCGTGTCCCACAGATGCCCCACATGCGCTGTCCCCAGGGGCCCTGAGCACAGCCATGGAGAGCCGCAAGCAGAACATGGAGCTGCTGAGCAACAGCATGGCTGCGTACGCACACATCCGAGGTGAGGACGTGGGGGGCGTCCCCAGCGGGGACCTTGGGGTCACCTCAGCTCCCGTCCACCCGCTCAGCCCCGCTGTTCCAATCCTGTGCAGCCAACCCTGAGAGCTTCGGGCTGTACTTCGTGCTGGGCGTCTGCTTCGGGCTGGTGCTGACGCTGTGCCTGCTGCTGCTGCGCATCTCCTGCCGGCCCCGCACGCAGCACGCGGCCCGGCCCGACCTCAGCGAGGACGATGAGGATGATGAGGATGAAGAGGAGGACACGGTGGACCGCGCCGCTTCCGAGTCGCTGCTGCCGATGACCGAGATCCCATTAGAGTGCCACGGCCCCGGGGACGGCGCTGCACCCATCAACGTCTTCGCATCGGCAGAGGAGTTGGAGCGGGCGCAGCGCCTGGAGGAGCGTGAGCGGATCATCCGAGAGATCTGGCGCAACGGGCAGCCCGACCTGCTGGGTGCCGGCACTTTGGGCCGCGGGCATTACTACTGAGGGGGGCCATGGGCAATGGGCACCCACCCGGAGTAGGGCGGCACCCACGGAGTTCCCTCACCCCACCGCTGTGGGACATGATGCACTTTGAGCCATTGGTACGAAGCCGGGCGGGGGCCCAGCAGCCCCATGGATGAGCACAGGGCTGTGGGTGCTGCCCCCAGCATGGTGCCCTCCTGCCTGGTTCCCATTCCTGTTTCCATGCCCGCTGTCTTTGGCCTTTCCGGCACCACCCAGCACAGTGCCGGCTGTTTCCCGGTGGGCTCAGAGCTGCTCACGTTCCCCCCAGCCCGTGCTGCTCCCAGCCCAGCTGCCCCTCCCTCCACATCTACAAAAATAGCTCCTTCCCAGCCTGGCCCCGCCAGATCCAGATGTTTTCCAGATGTTCTCCCAGTCCCACGCCAGTGGCGCGAGGCCAAACTGTGCCGAGGGCTGGGGATGGGAAATGGTGTGGGGGTGGTGAGGAGGAGGAGGAAGAGGCACGGCTCCCTGCTCTGCTCCCAGCCAGCAATGGGGCTGTCGGGGCCCTGCATTCCCCCAGCTGTGACTCTCAGCTTCATTGGGGGACACAGCAGAACTCAGAGCCCCAACCTTGAGCACACAGCATCTGAGGCTGCATAGAGCACAAAGGCCACAGAGCAGCAGAGGGACAGGGAGGGCTTCTGCACTGCAGCAGCGAATGCTCCTGCAGATGAAGGCCTTTTGAGTTGGGTGGCATCGAACCCATGGAAAAGGGGCCGATGCAGCTGCAGCCCAAACCCCCGTGCCAAACTACCAGCAGTGGGAGGAGCCGTTTCCTCCCCAGGCTGCTCCACGAGGCTGAAGGAGCAGCGAACACTGAGCACCTTTTGTCCCATGTTGGTTTAAGGGCTCAAATTCCAACGTGAAGGAAAACACAGACCGCAAACCCAGGGCAGCATCACCTCACACCAGGCACAGCAGTGTTCCTTTCCTCTGGAGTGAGAGCAGTGGAAAAACCTTCCCTAAGCTGCAGCAGCAAAAGGCGGTGACCAATGCAGTCCTTCACAGCTGATGGGCACAGAGGTTTAGTGCCAGAATAAAGCAGAGGGCTGCCAAAAGCACAGGCAGGAGGGCTGGGCTGCTGGGGCTGAGGCAGACATACTGAAACACAGAACGAAGCCGTTACACCTACTCATTTTATTGTGTTTTATTTGCATAAACAAACGTCAGGGGTTCGCTAAAGAGGAGCTGTTCAAGTCAAAAGAAACCGAGCTCTAGTTGGTGTGTGCAGGGGGTGAGCACAGCAATGGGGGATGGGGGGAGTGGGATGGGTACAGCAGAGCACAGCCCTGCCCTCGGCCCCAGCGCTGCTGCCAACTTCTGCTGAGGATTCTCATTCAAAGCAGAAGACAAACAGCCACGTGTGGCCATCCTACACAGCACAGGAGAGGGTTTGCCTTCATTTTTATAAAAAGATTAATAAAAAATACTGAAAAATCCTCGTCTTTGCTTTGACGTTTGTAGCCCAGGGCAATGCTGAGGGGCCTTAGAAAACTGTTACCTGGGGCAGAGCGCCAGGGGTCCCAGCAGAAGAGGGGGACAGACAACACGGGGCTGCAGCACACACCAGGCCTAACGCTGTACACAAACAGTGGTGAGAAGGAGGGCGTCTTTTCTTTGCGCTTTAAAATCATGCTCATTTTGTTGCCTTTCAAACAAAAAAAAAAAAGGAGGGGGGGGAGAAAGTCATTTTTAAAAGGCCCTAGAAGTCAACTGTTACATTAAAAAAAAAAACAAAAACATTTAAAAAACCAAAATCATAGCAGTTTGGTCCCAACAAGTTAACATTTAGATCTTTATTCACATGCTTCATCGCTTCTTACTTCAAGAACCAAAAATAGTTTCCAAAATTATCATTTAATTGATGTTACTACACAAAGGCCTAAAAGGAGAGTATGAAATTAAAAAAAAACTGAATACACAACAGGGGAGAAAAATGGGAACGGGTGAGATAACCCCGAGCTGTACTACTTCAAATTATAAAAGAGAAACAGAAACATCAACTACCGGGCTAAGGTGGGCACAAACCCAACTCCACGGCGCCTTCAAAGCCTGTTATTACCAAACAAACCCCCAAAACAAACAGAACAACCATTCTGTAAGGGCACGGACAGAACAGCCAGGGCCTCACCCAGCACTCGACCTCATTCAGTCCTCAATGTCTTTGGGAAGATTCGCTCCGTGAGCGGACCCAAGCAGAAATGATGCATCAGTTCTCACCCACACGGAGGGGGCAGAGCTCTGACAACGCAGGGAACTTCGGGGTTGTGTCAGAGCCCCTCAAGGGGCTCCGTGGGCCGCCCTGAGGCCCAGCACAGTGAGTGCTGCTCCCAGCACCGCAGCTATTCGGCTGCTGACTGCATGCTGTCCTTGTCCTCTCTGTTCTCCGTTCCGCTCTCGTCGTCTTCGATCTCTCCTTCTTCACCACTGAATTTATCATGAGCCCATTTGGGGCTGGTGCTCGACTTCCTGAACATGAAACGCCCTCGTCCTCGTGGGAAGGCGCCGCGGCCACGGCCTCTGCTCACCCACTTCTCCACGCCTTCGCCCTCGCGGTCGTCGTGCTGTGTGGGAGGAAGCCAAGGACAGCAGTGACACAGAGACAGTGCTCTCAAAATGGGAGTGGGAAGAACCCAACCCTGAGCTGCCCAGTGACAGAAGGCAGGCAGTAAAATAAAATCTAGGCTTTCTTGTTTGAGGTGCAAGACTGAAACAGTGAGTTATTTAATGAGAGGATCTCACACATCCCAAACAGGGAAGAGAAACAAATGAGTTCTGCCTGCTTAAAACTTCCCATTTTTTATAGGGCCACTCAGACACGGCCCTCCCAGACACCCGTGGTGAGACACACTGCTACCACCAGAAACAAAGGAACAGCACAGATCCACCCAGGAAGGAAGCTGGAGTTTAGTGAGGACAGAAGAGCCAAAAGCAGCACAGGCTGCCTCCTGTGACGCTGCACAAAGGCTTTACTACTGAGAAATGACATCTTTAAATTAAATCCCTAAGGGCCAATTAAAGGCAAAGCACTCTACAATGAGCAGAACTCCTCAGTGAGGAGCCAGAAGCTTCCTGGTGGTCACAAGCACTAAGGGCAGCTCCAGCTGCACTGCTCAGATGTTTCACAATTAGCACACATACCAGGTAGTACTTCTTGCTCTTCGGTGTGTACTCAGGATCCCAATCCTCTTCTCTGCTTCTCTTCTGGAAGTCATTGTTGCCACCACTGTTGCTGTTGTTGTTGCCTGAAAAGTTGCCTCTGCCCCATCCTCTCCCCCTCGCTCTGAACTGCTGTAACAGCAAAACATGGAAGGAAAATTAAACAGCTGTGATAGCAGTGCTCCTTCAGAGGCACCAAGAGATGCAGCACCGCTTCCCCAGCAAGCCAGGAACACCTCTAACACATCAGTACATTAAAAGCTCACAGCACCTTATTGTTTTCAGTCCCAACTGATGACATCACCCAATACAGTTTATTTAAACAGAGGTGTTTCCTGAGCACCCAAAAGAAAGCATCCAACACACACAGGCTTCTGTGTACCCAAGGCACAAACGCCTCCCCCCCAGCCTGCCCCATCAGGCTGCTCAGCCACTGATGTGCAGCAGCTTCTAGGCTATGCACTGCACCATGCACCTCGAGCTCAGTTGCCCAGCTACATTCCCAACAGCCTGGTTTGTGCTTCAGGTCTGCAGTGATCACATTCTGGCTCATCCACAAGCAATGACTTTCAGGCTTCTCCATCACAGAACATTGTAACTGCAGAACAACGCGCAGTGGCTGCTTCTGACTGCCCTGCAATTGACACATGGGGTGGGGAAGCACTTACAAAGGTCCCTCGGGCTCTTCCTCTCTCATTTGGACCTGTGAATTCCTTAGTTCCAAGTCGGGATTTGTCAAAGCCTGTGGTGCTTTCCTCCCTCTCCTCAGTCTCCTCAGGATACTCCTCTGCTTTCACTGAATGAGAGGACCGTGAGGATGATGAGCTGGATCTGGACCTCTCACGCACCCTTCGGTGTTTCCTGTTTCAGTGATAGGAAATAAGGGTGGGAGAACAGCATTTGGATTAATCACTCAGCAGTAACCTGTTGGCTAACAAACTATTTTATCAGTCCCCCATCAATACAAAGCTTTCCTTTTCCTGCTATGAAAAGTCACAGTAACAGTTCAACATCAGCTTCTAGCAGAGGTCCCAAGGCTTCTCTGTCAAGATTTTGCTGCTTTTAAATCACTGACACTGCCCACTAGGAGATAAGCAGGCATTTGAGACCAGCAGTCTCTCTCTCCCCTCTCAGTCTCCTTCCTAAGACAAAGGCATTCATTCAGAGCTTTAGTCACATGGAAAAATTAAGCTAATAGAAAAGGACTAAATTAAACTTGAAGTAAAATCACTTCAACACTGCCATTGCCTAGAACTGGAACAAGAAGAAAAAGAGACTTACCCATTGTGACACATGGAGCCTTCCCATTTACCTTTACCAGTTACTTTACGTTCCAGATAGACACAATGGCATCAAGAAGACACGCAGGGAAATAATTCACACCACTGCAGCAGTTATGTCACAGATGTACAACCACAAATATGCGAGGCTGCCTCCAACTTTAACAGCAGAAACATGAAATGCAGAAGGAAATGGCTATGGGGTTTCCTACATACTTTTTCTTTGAGCCTTTGTGACTTTTCTCCGTTTTCTCAGTCGATCTTTCCCTTGAGTGACTCGAATCTCTGGACTCCACTGACTCTCTGGATTTATCACGTTTAAGATCTCTTTCCTTATGTTTTTTACGGCGCTCGATATCAAGGCGCAGGTCAACAGGGTCGTCCTTATATTTCCCTTCAGCCTACAAGGGCAGGGATGGGCAGAGTTTAACACACAGACCTACAGCACCCCTAGTTCAGCACCATTACTTTAATACTGACTGCACAAACTTGTGGAGAGCAGGGGTTTATCTGAATGCTAGTCAATGCTCCATTTTAAGATGCAAAATGATGCACTACCAAACTCAGTTCTTATTTGTCAGGTTTCAATCTTTCTACATTTTTAACTTTTACCCTTTTTAAAACAGCATTTGAATAGCCTGGTCATAGGGGAACACTGACACTTATGGTACATCACAGCCAGCGAGATGAGAGCATCTTGGAAACCCAATCTGTGTGTGTGTGTGTGGCAGAACTGCAGCATGCCAGGAATGCTGGAAGGCCTGGGGACACTTGTCACAGGGCAGCAGCATTCAGCAGGGCAGAAGGGCTCTACAAACTTAAGGAGAAGCAAAAGCTGTTGGCCAGCTGGAGACACCTGGGGCAGCAATCATTCAGTGAGTGTGCTAAGAAATAGAGGCCACTGGAAATGCAGTGATCAAGGTTGTTTATTTGGAAGAATCTCACTGACGTGGGGCACCACATGGAAGGTGCCAAAAATCCATCCAGCTCTATGAAAAGCACCCAGGTCCTGGTCTCTGTATCTCTCAACATGGTCAGCTACACAATCTGGTAACGCTGGAGTTCACAATGGTTTCTTTAGGAAAGGTGTATCTGTGTTACCTGGGGGTGCTGAGAGCTGCAGCACTTGGATGAGGTTCTGTTCTGAGTGCACAACGTGAGCAGCAAACTGACAGTGCTGTGATTTTGCCAAACGTTTACCCGAGCAGCAGTGCTTTGGTGGGAACCTGCACAGCACACTGCTAGCAACAACACAGCCCCCACAGCAACTGCTACTCCACTGACACAGCTAATCTCGGGAACTGCATGGCTTGATACACAACATAAACCAGATTAATCGCCTTGAATCAAATACAAAAGGATTAGTAATTCTCTAGCTATTAAACTTTTTACTTACATGAGTTTCTAAACACTTTTTTTTGTTTAAATAAAAATGTCAAATAACGCAGGAGTGGGAGCAGGCGTTTTGGTTGGGTTTTTTTTTTTTTTTGCTCTTCTAGTTTCCCCAGGCAAAGAGTTTTAATTTCTACTCTGAGAATACAACTGCTCCCAACACGGTGGATGGCAGATAAGTGACAAAATCAGCAGCAGCTCCCTTATGTGGTACAGCAAACACCTATTGGGTTTGTGAGGGCACGTCTGTTTCACGGAAGGCTGGCGAGCTGTTTGGAAACCACGTTTATAATACACTCTGCCAAGCTGATGCTCAGAGTTCAGGCCCATCAAATCCATCTCACCATCGTCCATGTCAAGCCACAAGTGTTTGGAAAAAATCGAAAACAAATATGAAACAAGTAAGGTTTCAGCAGGACTGTTCAAAATCTCTTCAATGTAAATATGTACGAAGGTGAATACACAAAGGCTAACATCCCAAAACATTGTGTTAAGCCATTTCTAAGATGGTTTACAGTAAGCACCATGGCTTAACATGAGCTACTCAGAACAGCTAACACACTCCATTCCCAAAGGTCTGCTCTATGACAACAGGTGCTGAATGTTAACTAACAGCAATCAACAGAAATGGTACAGCAAGTTGTTAGAACAAAATTTATCACCCTCTTAATAGTGTATTTCGTTTAGCTAAGTATTTAGTTTTACTCTCCTCTTTTTGACATGCATGTCTTTTTGAAAACATGGTTGGCAATATCGCATGTATACAATTGATTTTAATAATACTTACAAGCAGACAAATATCACAAAAAGTCTCTTCTCTCATCATGGGCACTTGTTCCAAAAATCCTCTCATTTTTCTCAAGCTCACCTCAATTGACTTTGGGGTCATTTACCATAGTCTAACCACTTCACAAAGGTTGTTGATACATTTTTAATAAAAATTAACCCTTTGTAGTTCATTTTTAGAATTATGCCCATCCTTAAAAGAAAAACACAAACTTAAGTAGAGAGTAATTTAAACAAAAACATCACTGTTAAGTTCATGCCCAATGCACTCATTTTGTTGAATTAAACTAATCAG